TAGTGCAAGGATAACCTCAAACACACATTGTCTTTCACTACACACTACAGCTCGGTAATTTACACTAATGTTAGGTTGTGAGCGTACATTATGATAGGTGTGCGCAGATTAATACTGCGCATAATTAGTCAGTTGAGCACGGTTTAGCCCTCGGAAATATCTTACGATTGAATGTCCATGATAGCGTATGAAATCATTATTTATATGGGACATTTTATTTCCGAATTTTCTCACATGATATACTCTTGCATATGTTTTTCTGTTAAAGTCTCTGCGTAATCTATGAAACCTGGAATACATCACGATATTAAAAATGGTCTTAAATGCATTTTTCCGTAATATTGACAATTCAAAACGCTATCAAGTGCATATCACAATTATCTTCACTGACCCTTTCAATATCCAACAGTTCCCGAATTATTCTCTTTTCAAAGTTTTCCAATTATTATCTTTATTATGTTTTTCGACATTTGTGAAGGATATACATTTACTTTATATGAACGGTATCCACCCCATAATACTTGTGCTCAAATATTTTATAGGGAAATCACTGATTACAATCTGATCCTATGAAAATATCATTCAACATTCTTCTAATCATTAATACAAAAAAGTACACATCACTACACATGCTCTAGACTAGACTATAAAATACGATTACTAGAATGTCGTCTGTAACAACTCGTGTTTTCCAGTACACAATCTGATTCTGTAAGCAATTTAATGGATGGAAAGAAAATAATTCCCTGATGCTGTATATTCCGTGCTGACACTGGTAAGCCTGGAAAATGAGATGTCAAAAATGTAATCCATTGCCTATCACAAAAAATACATTAATAACTTAGAAATAACTTGCCATCATTCTTCATGCTATAACTCTCTATACTCTACCCACCACTATGCACAGTTTACTCAATGTCATTGAACAGCATTCCTAGCATAACACCAATGACATGTGTTTCATTTCGCATACCACCCTGTTATAAGCATTTATTCTTCATCCAAGATGAACAAGATATCTATGAAAGAGGGGAAACGTTTGAATCCAGTGTGGGGGAAAGAAAATCTTAACATTCTTGAAAACACTACATCACACTATACAAAAATTCTACAGTAACATTAGACAACTTGAATTTCACTTTACACTCGACATTACTGTGACCAAAACACCATACACTGTTCCGTTAAATTTCAGCTTCGTAAATGCCGTCACTGTTAGGTGTGCGCAATGGACTACTGCACATCCACCTGTAACTCAGGGTTGTGGCCCTTGGCTACCTTTCGTTGATTAGGTTAGGTTAGTTTTCCATTTGTACTTTCGAGGGGGCGGAGCTCGGTAATTTACACTGATGTTAGGTTGTGAGGGTAGATTATGATAGGTTTGCCCGACTTACTGCGCATCGTTATGCTCAGTTGAGCAAGGTTTGGCTGTCGGCAATATCTTACCATTGAAGGTCTCTGATAGCGTTTCAAATCATGATATATTTACACGGGATATTTTATTTCCGAATTTTCTTACATGATAAACTGTTGCATATACAGTGGAACCTAGCTTAACGAGCACCTCTCATAACGAGTAATTCGCATAACGAGCAAAATAAATTGTAAAAAAAATGACCCTCTTAACGAGCGACGTTTCAAATAACGAGTGATGAGAGGGGAATTCCCGGATTGTGCGCTTGCTACATCAGTCTGTGTTTAGCACGCGTTCCGCTAACATCTTAGTGTCGCTTTGTGATCACACATTTTTCCAAACTTGTGTTCAGACATATTATTTGATTTTTTGTGCAAAGTTTAATAACCCTTGCAAAAATGTCCCCTAAGAAAAACCCGCAGTCAGCCATAAGAGAATAAAAATAACCGTAGAAATGAAATGTAAAATCACTGAAAATCGAGAACGAGGTGTGAGCGTGGGTGATCTAGCACGCACATATGACTACAATCGGTCTAAGTCAACGATTTGCACGATTTGGAGTTGCATTGTGTTTCACAGCAAGAAGTTCTGGAGAAGAGTCTGTCAGAGGAGGAGGAGGAGGAGGTAACAGCAAAGCAACAATCTTCTGGCACAATGAGAGAAATGCTTAAAGCATGGGAAACTGTTGCATCGTACATTGAGAAGCATCACCCTAATAAGGCAGTGGCTATGCGCGCTACAAATTTATTTAATGATAATGCTGTGTCGCATTTTCACCAAATTTTGAAGCGTCGGCAAAAACAAATGTCTCTTAGACAGCTTTCTAGTAAAAAGAATTAGATATGTATCATAAATAAAAAACTAATTATTTCCATTTTTTCTGCAAATCGAATTCGCATTCCAGGTTGGTTCATCCGCAGAGAAGAAAAGATGAAGATGATTCACGCTCCTTAACAATGTATATATAATTTTCTTTGCATAAACGTTATACATAAAATTTTTTGAGTATTTTTTCGGCATGGAACGCATTATCGTATTTTACATTCATTTATATGGAAAGAAATTGATTCGCTTAACGAGTGTTTCGCGGTACGAGTAAGATTCTGGAAAGCGAGGTTCCACTGTATTTTTCTGTTAAACTATCTACGTAATTCACGAAACCTGGAATATATTACGATATTAGTAATGATCGTAGATGTATTTTTCCGAAATATTGGCATTTCACAAAGCTGTAAAGTGCACGATATCACAGTTATCTTGATTGACTCTTATAATTTCCGATAGTTACCTAAATATTCTCTTTTCGAATGTTGCCATTATTAACTTTATTATGTTTTTCGACATATGTGAAGCATACATATACTTTATATGAAATGTATCCATCCCACAATAATAGTGGGCTTAGAACCAAAACGATAAGGCTGTTTAATACAGCTAAAAGAACATGACAGTGGGACACCTACAAGGAAGCCCTTGCACATTACAACAAAAAATAAGGAAAGCCAAGCGATCCTCATGGACGAGGCATTGCCAGAAGATCGATGATGTACCAGGCGGTGCCAAACTCATGAGAATCATAGTAAACCAGGCGACTAACAAGGTCAGCTCGATTAAGATGCCTAACGGGCAGTATACTCAAACAGGAAGGGAGACACTGAATTAATTATTAAGGGTTCACTATCCTGATTCAAAATTGACTGATAAGTTGGATGGACAGGATCAACAAAACCTGGACACTTGCCAAAGCAAGACGAACAGGGTAGATTGGAACCTGGCCAAAGTCATAATTAACCAATCAAAAATCAGATGGGCACCGAATACCTTTAAACCGTTTAAATAAGCAGGAACAAATGGAACTGTTCCGGAACTTTTGCAGCAAGGGGCAGAACTCTTGGTTCCACACCTATGCCGCATATATATAGAGCCTGCATGGCATATGGATTTATCCCCATGGCCTGGAGGCAAGTTAAGGTGACATTTATCCCAAAGCCCGGGAAACTAGATTACACCGAGGCTAAGGCTTATCGTCCTATCAGCCTGTCATCTTTCCTTTTGAAAACGATGGAAAAGATTGTGGATAGACATGTCAAGGATGCGGCATTGAGGACATATCCTCTACACCAAAACCAGCAAGCCTACCAAACATGTTTCACTAACAGGGCACAAATAATAATACTAATCGTACAATTAGTACCAGTGGATTCAAGGGAAATTCGTTTACATGGTATGAATACTATTCCACAGAAGCCCACAACAACATAACTTTTATTTTACTACAATAACATAATACTGCATGATGGAGACAAAACCTGTCACACTGTGTTCATGATTCATGTCACTGCATTCAGGCAGGGAAGGGCCTGGTTCAGTTAACTGACGTTATAACAACTGGGGCATTATATCAATGACCAAGACACTGCAGGCTCATGCTGTCAGAAACATTTTGCACACATCCAACTCTTCAAAATTCCGCAAGGACCTAAAACTTACAAAACTCTATACTTCACAGTGCTTACTATTCCTGAAGACTGACCTGGTTTACGTCTGGTAACTAACACTGGAGGTGTAGGGAACTGCACATAATCTTAGAGTTCAATTACCACTCTTCCACACACTGCCCTGATTTCCTGAGACAAACACATGGTTTTGACCATACTTTCTCTTTGTCTTTCTAAATATGTAATTTACATTTTTAAATGTTTCTTTTTCGTTTTACAAATACTGAAAATAATACAATTTGTCCAATTCTGATAATTGCCACATTTTCTGTAATTTTAAATACTAAAATGCGTTTCAATTATAAAAATCGACAAATTTATTAACGCCATCATTGCCGATTCTGCCTAAATACTTCGTATTCTCGAATAAATTCAATCAACTGAGCATCTGGACGTCCCTGGCCACATCCGTGAAGGCTATGGTACAGTAGGCAGTGACATCACCATAGGTTGAGCAATCAGACAACTGCGCAGCCCACTAGGTTGTTGGCCAGAGTTGGGTCAGATTGGGTCAGGTTAGGTTAGGTTTGCACACAAACTACTGCGCATCCACCTGGTAGTTCAGCAGAGCTCCCACAAACTAGGCACCTTAAGTCTGGTCTCGGTGGGTTGGGTTAGCTCAGCTCCAACCAAATTGCCACCTGGCTTGCAGGTCGGCATATCTTTTATTTTCTGGAAAGCCTTATATTTATTGAACACTTCGAAATTCTCAATTCTTTCTACATTTCCCCGATATTAAATTAGTGAAATTTTTCATTATTTTTACGTTTTATAAAATTACGTAATTTCTTAAATTTTCTTTTTACAATACTTCTGAATTTAGTTCATAATCACCGATCATTTCTTGATTTTTAAACATCTCTAAATTCAAATTCTTACAAAAGGCGGAACCGGTAGATATACTGATTATGCAAGTGTACATGCCAACATCAGAGTATGAAGATGATGAAGTGGAAAAAAGCGTATGACACAATTGAAGAAATTCTTCAGGAAGAT